GGCCAAAAGCATCTGTCAACCCCCAAGTATGTGAGTTTAGCAAGAAAAAATTCCATGGAAGTGCTCAAGTACCACAAGGGAAGCTGCATTTCCAGCATCCCTTTCCCAGTTCTGTCTGCTTTGGTATTTTCCTGCACCACTCAGCCTGAGCAAAAGGAGAATCCTACTTGTAACTCCTCCAGTAAGACATTTCTCAGTGTGGTGAAGCCTGGCTGCAGTTCCAACCTTTCTCTGCAGCCTTTGGAAGATGGAAGAAAGGATTTGGGCAGTCTGGTCAGAGTGTTTTAGCCAGCTCAGGTCCCTGGAGACGGCTCTTAACGAGCAAGAATGAGCCCTCAATGCCAGGAGTACCTCATTTTGGCATCATGCTTTTTTTCCCTATATTTTTTTCTTTCAGACATTTAAAGCAGAGCTATTTCCATTGGATTATTTCCACAAGAGAGTATTCTGAGGGGTGGGGAAGGCCACCTACCCACTCTCTGTCCTCTGGTTGCACTGGGTGTTGATGCACTGTGGGAGTGCATCCTGCAGGCTGGGATCGATGGCCGTGAAAGTCATCGGCTCCTGATGCACCTCACAGCTCGGATTCCTGCATTGGAGCCAAGAGAAACCTTGTTACAAAGCACAATGAAAATAACCTTTACCTGTTGCGTGTCATCTGCTTGGTTGTACTAAAAATCCTGATCTCAGCAGCACCAACAGGGGATTTGCCCTGCAGTCCTGGCTCTCACCTGCTCTCGGCGTTGGTCAGGTTCCCAGTGCACTCGTTCACCTCCAGTGGGCACTCACAGGGACACTCACACTCGTTCTGTTCCATCCTGCAGGCCACAAAACACGGGGGAAAACCATCAGACACCACTGGGATTTTAACCCCACGCTGGTGCAGCTCTGGAGCAGCAGCTCCCATGGAAAAGGCTGTCCAGGGACTCTGCTTCTTCCCCAGGAACGGGGATTGCTCTGTCCTGCTCCAGGACTCAGGATGACCCCTGGAATTACAAAAGAGGGCAGTCCCTCAGATGTCTGGATGTAAGGATCCTTCCTGGCAGTGCCACAAACACCTCAGGATGGTGTGGGCAAAACCTCCTGGACCCCCTTAATGAAAAACCCCCAATCCATGTAAAATCATGGGAATTCCTGTGCCAGAAGGAAGGGGCTCACTCACAGGTAGCTGCTTTTGAGCCACTGAATCTCTTTCAGCATTATCTCCCCAAAATCCCCTGGGTTAAACTCTGACAACCCAGCAGAGAAACCCCAAGTGCCTGCACCTCTTCCAGACAGCACAACTCTTATTTTCCCTGATTTTGCACGGAACAAAGTGACAAACTCACTGTGTCCTTACAAACTGCAAGCAGGGAAGAGGGCAGGAGTGTCCCAGCCCGCCCCCAGCGCTGGCACCTGTGGCAGTTGAGGCACAGCCTGTCCACCATGCTGCAGGCACAGAAGGCCAGCGAGTCGCAGGTCTCGTTGACGATGCCCACGAAGGCGTTGGTGCCCGGGATCCTCGTCAGCCTGTACTTGGAGCAGTGACTGCCGTGCACCAGGTTGGTCAGGTCACCCTGGGCAAAAAACAAGGTGTCAGCAGTGGAAAATGTTGGTTTAGGGAGATGAAAACTCTTCCCTTCCCAAGGGATCCCGCAGAGCTGTGGGGACAGGAATTGTGCCACGGCTTCCAGAGGTGGTGGCTCCTCTCAGGAGTTTTTGTGAGGAAGTGCCACCTTCGCAATTAATGTGATTAAGGGGTGGGTGAGTTTTGCTTCCCAGATACCTCTGGGTGCAAAGACTTTGCTGAAGATAGAAAGGAACTGGCTTAGCTTGTGCAAAAGAGATGTGGCAGCAGAGGTGACATTTCAGCTCGTTCCCTGACCCAGCCCTCGGTGACCACCCCAGAGGCTCTGATGGGAACCACCACCAAGTGCTGGAAACTTCCAGAGCCTTAAAAAAAGCCACCACAGCACTGCCCAGCTCCTGCAGACTCCTTCCTGATTCCTTCTTCCAAGTTTCTGCTCCGTCCTACACAATTTCCTTCCCAATACCACACTTCCCACTTGGCATTTCGAGTGTGAGGAAAATGTTTAAGCCGACCTGAAATAAATCAATGTATTCTGACATGAACTGCAAATATTTTCAAATCTTCCCCCACAGTGTAACAGCTTTGGAATCGCTGTGGAGGGAGCTGGGTGGATCTGTGGCTCTGTGAGGGATGGCAGCCCCTGGTTTAGACTCCTCACAAGAGGAAGCTCACACAGGATCCATGGAGAGCACAGGGTGTGCAGGACCCCAGAGATTGCAGTCTCACAAATGACAGCCTGGGAATGCTCACCAATAAATAGATTTATTTGGACACCTAAAGGTCAGTTATTAGAGACCTCACAGAAGGATGTGACACTGGTCAGAACCAAAGCAACACATCCCAACTACAGCTGGCAAATTCTCACCCAGCGACACCAAACTGCCCCTCTTGCCCCGATGCTGGCTGCAGACAGCAGCCACGCTTGGCCAGGGCTCCCATCCACAACCCCTGCGTGTCAGGGCACTCTGCTTGTGCAGCCTGGTTTGTGTCTGGAGCAGGGCAGCAGAGGCAAATTCCTGGTTCCCTGAGCCTGCCAGGAACTCGTGTTCCCAGCAGAAGAAACCCAACCCAACCAAAGCAGACTCCAAAGCAAAAATCAGAGAGAAAACCAGGCTCACCACTAAGCTGGTGTTGAATTTATAGAAGCGCTGCACGGTCCTGTCGCTGAAGCTGTTGCAGAGGTTTTTCTTGACGAAGTTGGGGTGGTTCAGGATGTCGTTTGCTACCAGAGGCTCCTGAGGGGGAAAGGTGGGATTTGATGCCTTTGGAATCAGCTCAGGAATGAGAGGTCTGGAATAAGGCAAGGGAAAGCAGGCAGACCTTGTGTGTGATGTGCTGCTGCTCCACAGGCGCGTGGCCCTTGGGGTCGATGAGGGTTGGATGTGCCACCAGGTACCCCCTGTCCTCCATGATGAAGCATCTGCTCCCCAAAACAAGCAAGAGCCTCCTGTTAGACCTCCTTGGGCTTCAGGGGAAGAGGGTGGAATAAAACATGGCCCTAAAGGGCTTTTACAGGTTCCTATTTAACGGGGCCATGAAACAAATTCCCTGCAAAATGTCCTTAAAGAATGTGTTGGGTATTTCCCCAAAGCTTTTCCATCTGTTACTGCTCCAGAGGGCCAGGGCCATCAAGGAGTTGAAAACAGAGCTGATTAAAACCAGAGAGGAAAAGCCATCAGTGCATTGTCTGATTGGGGAAGAGCCAGAAATGAACAGAGCCTAATGAACTTGGAAAGCTTTAATGGTTTATTAATTTACTATGTGACTAATTAAAGAGAGATTTCACACTCTCCTTTAATGTTCTCCCCCCTTCAGAATTCAATTTTAGGGGGGGATAAATCACTCCTGTTCCTTTCCCAAGCCTTCCTCTCCCTTTCCAGCTCTTCCCACGTAGGCTCTGTGTCCCAATCCAGAATCCAGGCAGTTCCATCCATCCCTTTTTCCCCCCTCTCCCGTTTCCATGGCCACAGACGGCAGCGCCGGGGAAGGCGCAGGAGCCCTGGCCATGGTGGCACCGACATCAGGGGCTCGGTGGCCACAGAGGGGACAGGGGGAGGTTAAAACCCCGCTTGATGTTCCCAAAAGCTCAGCAGGGTGGCAGGCACAGCCCTGGCACAGCGGGAATGCGGCTGGATCCGGGGCTGGAGCAGCTTTCAATGGGATTCCCGTGGGATGTGTCAGGTACCCAGGGCAGCTCGGGGGCAGCTGAGAGCAGGGGGAGCCTCTGTGCTCTCTGGGGGTACAAAGGAGGAAGGAAAACTTGGATTTTTTGGGAGGGTTTCCATCAGAAATACACGTAAAGATGTTGTGTTTGCTCTTTTTCCTGACAGAAAATCCTTAGGAGAGATACACTAAAAAACCCCAAACATCTGCATTTATGTCAAGACTGGAAACATTGGATCCAATTTCTAAATCAGAACGGTCCAACACTGAAAAATATCCTCAGAATTCCTCATTTGGGGAATGCAGGAACAGAATGAAGCATCTGACCTTGCTGTTTTTTAATGGGAGGGAGTGATGCCAAACCAGAAATCCTGATTTGTTTTTGGTTTTTTTTATATTCCATAAAATATATCGAAAAAGACCCAAACCAGAAAAGAACTGGGAGGATGACAGAAAACCACTTCCCTTCCCAAATTTAAGGTTTAAAAACAAACAAGGAACCAACAGCAATGCCCAAACCACGTTATCAAGTTACTCCAGATCCAAACCAGAATTTATGCCACTCCCACAGGATTTTTCAAGAAAAGGAACAATTAAGATACCCAGGGGTCTGACTGAAATTGGATATCCCAGATGAAATCAGACTTCTTCTGCTGTGGATTTCTGAGAAAAACATACCAGAAGTCTATTTGAATAATTTGAGTTAAAATAACTGAGATCCTGTATCATTCTTACACACTCACAGGAGCTAAACAGGTGAAATTAAAGCAAAAGTTCTTCCCAGAAGAACTGGGAAGTGTGTTCATTTAATAAGAAATGTTTTTTTAAATCCAGAATTTAAAGAAGTCTAAATATAACAAAAAAAAAAATCAAATCAAATCTGTTATCTTCTGCTTTTGTAATCCTGCAGATTGTTTATTTAGCTGATGGCAGTTTGATCTGGAATAACAAAAACATCCACATAATCTTTATGAGAAGAACAAGCACAAGTTCTACTGGAAATCAGAGAACACACACTGAAAGTAACAGAATCCTTGGCGAAATGAAGTTGGAAATGACCTTTGGGTCATCTGGTTAAAGAAAAGAAATATCTTATTTATTTTGTGCCTGGCAGGAGCAGCTTTTACCTGATTTTGTTTCCCCCATCTTGGTTACAAACTGGCAGCAGGTCCATGAGGACTTTGTAGAAATATCTGAGGGTGAAGTCGATGCCCATCACGGCCACGGAGTGTCCTGAGGACATCTGAGCACTGCAGTGAGGGGAAAGGGGAAAATCAGAAATATTAGAAATAATAAAAAGTATTATTATTCAGGGAAATAATGATCATGATAAGAATAATTCCTATTTTAGTCTGCTCCTTGTGCAGCCAGCACAGGGGACAGCCCAGGAGTGGATCCCTACACACACCCCCACCCCTTACAGACATTTAATCCTGAGCAAAAGAAATTAGGATTAAAAATTCCCCATCCACACAAACAAACAAACAAACAACCAACCAGAGGAGGCAGCCCCTGTGTTTTCCAGTCCCCCCAGCTGGCAGGAGTTACCTGCACCCTCCTCTGCTCAGCCCCCAGCAGGAGGGAGGAATATGAAGGTGCCAGACTTTGAGTTAAATCCCTAAAACGCCAGAGTGTGGGAGTGATTATGAATGGCAAGCAGAAAATTAGAAGTAAGTAACATTTCTTAGGGTGAATTATGAAAAGGATCCTGTGATGTGCTGGTGCAGCAGCTTGAGGCTGCATTTTCTCCTTCCTCCACAGCCCAGTTCTCCCAGTTTGCTCCCAGTTTGCTCCCAGTAGCACTGAGAGGGCACAGCCAGACCAGTCCCCCCTCACCCCTGCAGGACACAAAAAGATCAGAGCTCAAGGGTGTGGGATTTACACCCTACCCCTCTTCAAAATTCACTTTTCTCCATTATTTTATCTGTGAAGAATAAAAATGAATAAAATAAAAAGGAAAAAAAAAATAAATAAAAAAGATGCTGCAAGGCCCAGCTGGACTGCACAAACAGAGCTCTGGCCACCCCTGCTCCATGGAAACCCAGCTCTGTTTACTGGGCTGAGGTTTGTTTGCTTTTCAAAGAGGTGCAGTGGAGATGCAGTCAAATCTCATTTGTAGACAGATAAATATAGATTTTGAAAACCTGTGTTTAATTTACTGTTCACATTTCCTGGAGGAGGAATGCAAGGATGGCAGTGAAGCAGCACAGACACATTTCATGTGTGACAAGGCATCTGAAGTTCTGCTCTGTCCTAACAGACATAAAGCCATTAGAATATTGTAAATATTTTAGCTTCACTTTTAAGCATTAAATCCTCCTGCTTTGCTGATGCCAACTGCATTAAACCACATCAGGCAGAAATCTTCTCTTCCCAGACTCCATAAAAAGAAATAAGATAAACATAAAATGGGAATGAGAGGTGTCAGCTCAGGGTGTTTAAAGCCTCCCAGCAGTCCCTAATGCCAGAATCCCTGTTAACTCCAGGGATTCCTCCCCACCCCTCTGGATTTGGAGCTCAGGCCTCTTTGGGGATTATAACCACATGTGACTAGAGCTTCAGAGGTCATATTTACCCAGGAATCACACTCACATCTGCCAAACTTTGTTTAACTCTTCTTTAATCATGTTCTAATAGCCCACAGGAGCTTTAAGTTCTTAGAGCTGAGTAAACCATCCCTCGCTAGATAAAAATCAGAATTTTGATTAATTGCACTTCTCTCCTTACAGAAGTGCTCGTTTCCCCAAATTCAATTCCTCTGTGAGAAGCACCACGCAGGGGCTGGGGCTGAAAATGCCAGAACACACAGGCAGAGGTGCTGGGAAATCCCACACAAAGCAGGGGGATCTCTGGGAAGAGTGGAGGAGCCACCTCCTGTTCCCTGCTGTTTCCCAGTAAAACACTGGGAGTTCCCTCTGTACTGGTGAGCTGTTGGGTAGGGAGCTTGGAGGAGACTCCATGTAAAAACCAGGACAGGGAACTGCTGTTTTGGGAATTTGGGAGAGCTTGTGACAGCAAGGTTTGGTCCATGTTTCATAAACTGGGCTCCATTAAACATCCTGCATCCCAAATCCTGGCCTTGGGCTGGGAGCTGGAACAGCAACAGTCTGGTCCTCCAGGAAAAAGTCATTTCATAGACTCATGGAATATCCTGAGCTGGAAGGGACCCACAGGGATCATCCAGCCCAACTCCTGGCCCTGCTGTTCTCACCCCAATCTGTTCCCAGCAATCCTGGAAGGGCTCTTGGAGATTCACAGGCTTTGCCTCAAGGTCTTTCTCCTCCTGGAAGCCCAGAGGTGCTGGATTTAAACAGCTCAGGAGAGGAGCTCCCCAATTCCTGGAGTAAGGACAGCTCTGTCCTTAACCCCCTTTGTGGCCTGGCCTCTCTGTCTTGGATCAGCTTCCAGTTCCCTCCCCAACACCTCCCTGCTCCTTAAAACCCCACAAGTGGAGAACTTCAGGAAATGTGGAGCTTGGCAGTCCTGATGGAGGAGGATTTAACTCCAGCAGAGGGAACACTTCCCAAACTGCCTCAGGAGAGCAACCCCTCTCCTCCCCCCACTTCCTTGGACATCCCACCTCGTGTTCATCCAGGAACACTTTCCCACCAATCAATCCCTTTTTTTTAATATGCTGTTATTACTCCTCTACCAATAAACCCCCAGAATCCTCAGATTCCTATAAAATGGGTTTTTAGAGGGTTTTATATGGGTTATTTCTCCCAGTGTTCCAATGCCCCATTTCCACAAGGTCAGTTGACATTTCACCACCAGCACTTTAAGACCAGCTTTGTTTTCCAGTTCCTGAGCACACAAGAGTCACCCAGGTGTGATAATTCAGAGTTTTCTTGCCTTCCCCAGAGCCCCAGAGCCCCTGACCTGGAGGAATGGACAGTGTGGCTGATGGTCACCACGTATCCAGCCCCTCCCACGTCCAGGTAGGGCCCAGTGAAGGTGATCAGTCCTGGATTGGCCACTGCATGCAGGTACCTGAGGGAAGGCAAAAGAAATGCTCAGAATTAATGCCAAAGTCTGTAACTTCCAGACAGAATCCTTGACTTTCCTGAAATAACACACACCAAATTACTGGTTTTTAACATCCAACAAGTACCTAAACACAACTGGGACTCCAAACTAACCCAGACTGGCTCAATAAATGGTCCCCCAGTACATCCAGCTGCATTAAAAAAAGCTCAGTTTACTTCTGCACACAACGCACTTAATGTAATTTCAGACATTTTCCCCCAGAACAATGCAGGACTTGGTGCCAGCAGAGTTTCAAACTCAAAGCAAACCCTGGCAAAAGGATTACATTGCAAACTGAGGAGAAAAGACAGAACTGAGGCAAGAAAATTCAGAAATATCAGACAGCAATTATAAATCACAACCTATTAAAACTTCCATCAGCATAAAATAAACCACAGTCAAAAGATAGTTGATGAAACTGCTATAGGAAAGTTGATAAAACTTTTGGGAACATTTTTTGTGTAAGAAAAAGTGATCACCTTGCTTCTCCCTACGCAGAGCACCAAGCCATGAGCAGCTTGACCCATTTCTGCTTTATTCCCAGTGTTTTGTTTGCACCTTCTTCCCATAACACTACGGATTCCAGGGAAAACGTGGGGCAGGAGAGGTGCCAGGAGCACTGCAGAGCCACAGGGATGGGATCTGGGCCTTTCCCAGTGTGGCAGCACCTGCCTGGCTCCTTCCCACAGATCCATCAGAGCCTGCTCCCATCTGGAACGTCCACAGCTCTCTGCCCAAATCAGATGCTGCTGCATAATTAATCCCTCCTTGAAAGCAGTGAGGAAACCCACAGTAAACAAACAAAAAGGCTCAAATATGAACAACCAAAAAGGGTCCAAGGAGCTCAAATACTCCTGAATTAGCTAATCCCTGAAGGGGATGCTCATTTTCTGAATATTTATGTCCCCATCTGCCATAGCTGGGCTATGAAACACCAACTACCCCACAAAATAAAAACGCCTGAAATTACAACCAAGAAATCTTTGAAATGGCTGCATTTTTTCTCCACAACGAAAACATTTTCAACTCAATTTTTTAAAAAAAACCCAAAAAACAACAAAAACCCACAGGCTACGAAATCGATTCTAAAAACGAAATCAACTCTAAAAACGAAATCAACTCAAAAAAACAAAACCAACTCTAAATATTTCCCTTCTTGCCCTCGGAGATGATTCAAAGCCTTGCTGAAGGGACCCTAAAAACTCACCATTGTCTCCTGGTGGGATCAAATGCTTTGTCCATGAGGGAGCCGGGGTAGATGCGGAGCACCCCGTTGGGGGTTGCTATGTAACGCCTGACAATGTAACTGTTGAGGCCACTGATCTCCATCTGGGTCATCCATTCATCCGTGCCGTGACTGGTTGCCATTACTTCATTCCTGACAGAAAACTGCAAAACAAAGGCAGAGCTGGCAGGGTTCCTGCAGGACTTGCATGGCAAGATAATAAAAGCTTCCCCCAGAGCCATCGGGGATCATCTCGGCTCAATTGCTCGGTTCAAGGCTTCTCACACCAGACATTCCAAGCAGATTATTAGAGTGAAATGTTGTTGGGGTTATCTCCTTACTTTGTGGGGTTGTTTTTTTTAACTTGCAGTAAATATAAATAATGTGAAACAGAGATTTCTCATTTGTATGCCTAAAGTGTTTCAGCTCAGAATTCAGCGTGGCTTTAACTTTTCTAGTGTTTGTTTTAACAAAGTTCTGTCCCCCTCCTCTGTCTACCCTTAGATCAGATGTTGGGAAGGAATTCCTGCCTGGGAGGGTGAGGCTGCTCCCGGATCCCTGGAAGTGGCCAAGGCCAGCTTGGAGTGATGCCTTTTTGGGGCCACCTAAAAGCAGAGGCCAGACAGAGTTGAGGGAATAAAAAGCTGCTCTATTTATTGAAGGGCCTTCAGGTGCCTCTCGGGCACACAGAGCCCCCCAGGGGCTGCACCCAAAATGAACCACGGCTTTTACACTTTGATAAATCTGCTCCATTTCCATATTGGGGGTTCATTTCCCAGTTCCAGCTCCAGCTCATGAAGTCATTTAGCCCCAGTTTGCTGCCCCCAGCTCACTTTTGTTTCCATCTCTCAGGCCTGAGGCAGTGAGGAGTCCTTGATGCCCAGGCCTGGAGAGGAATTGCTGTGTCTGCCCAAAGTGGGAAAGCAGCTGAAGGTGGAACGTGGAGTTTGGAGCTGTGCACTAAAGAACTGCAGGATTACAGATACATGAGAAATAGAAAAGATAAAACCCCAAGGCATGAGGAGCACGCTGGGACAGTGTGAAGTCATGGACAGAAGTGGTGATGGCAGACAGAAAGTGTCCTGGCCACGGCAGGGGTGGGATGAGAAGGGCTTTAAGGTCCCTCCCAATGGAATGTGCTGGAATTCCCTGTGGGAATGGGCCAGGAGGAAGGCCCAGGTGTGCTGAGGTCCCACCTTGAGGCCGGGGTTGGCGATGAGGCGCGTGTTGTCGCTCAGGTAGGCCGTGTAGTGCTCCACCATCCGCTTGGTCTCGGGCTGGCTCAGGTGCTCGTAGGGGGAGGAGAAGCTGCCTGCAGACAGCATCACCGTGGGGCTCTCTGCAAACACCAAAACACCCTTTCAGGACACACTGCAGGCTGAGGATGGCTGTGCCACGGGGGCAGGAGTGACCCTGCTGCTCTCCCCACTCTGCCACAGCTCAGCACACAGAGCCCAACTCCTGCAGGATGCTCTGCACTGGGAGGGAGGGCAGGAAATGTCCATTTTTCCACCCAAGCCAGAGCACTTCCCAGCACAATTTCCT